TTAAAACAAATGACTATGCGCCTAATATAAAATGGGTATGCATAGCACAAAGTAAACCCTTTTCCGTTAAGAGAGGGGGACGATGAGATTTATGTTTATTAGAGAAAAGATTTATCCTCAAAAACATTAACACGACAGATCTACTCAATGAACGATCTGAGCTAATGATAGCATGTATGCATAAAAAATTCTAAAATATTGGAAAGCTGACTAATCCGAAATCCTCCCCACAATCTTATTAGGATATGGCCACCATACTCCACCCCAGCCTTTTCACGATACTATAACAAATCTACAACAACGACGCTAGCATCCATGTTTTTCCTTCATTTCAAATTTTTTTTTCTATTTTTTATTTTCAGTCATTTTTTTTACCGCCTTTTAACCCATAACGGTTTACTGACTACCCGAATCCAACATCCTTAATTATAAATTTTAAATTTGTAATCAAGTTTTTCCCATACACATTTTTTACTCCCCTCATATTCCGCTATGTTTCTTTTCAATGTAACTCACCAGCAACACAATTAACACGCTTCTGTACAACTTTTCTTTTTACGCTATGTGGCAGTGAAACTCGCAGGAGCCATTTGTTTACTTCCAACAATATAGACCCCGTGCCTGATGAACTGGGATCAACCCAACGAAACTATAGTAGCACACCAAAACTTATGTATACGTATATATACTAACATATGTATATATATATATATATATATATATATATATATATATATATATATATATATACGTATACATAAGTTTTGGTGTGCTATATATATATATATATATATATATATATTCAAACCCTAATTGACCCACTACACACACACACACACACACACACACACACACACACACACACACAGGTACATGTTCTGCTCAAAAAACCTAGGTTTATGGAATCTTGAGCATGTTTGTGATATATGAATAAGTCTGAGTTTCATTATACGTCTTGCCATTTTCACATGAATTTAAATTTGCTTTGACAGATAATTTAGATCTCATTTTCTTACGTAAGCGTCGCTTTTACCAGTGAGAGGAATTTAATTTGAAACTCTTTTGAGAGTGGCTATATGCAGAATCCTCTGAAGTTAAAAGAGTTTAAAAAATAATTACAATTTTAATTACCTGCATGATGACTCAGCCAGTCAACACTCGCCATTTGATAAACAACTCGTTGAAATTTAGAATAAAAGATTCTATATATTATCTGTCTATCTAATATCTGTTATAAACTTATTCATATATGACGAATTATCTACTTGTTTCAGTCTGTATATTCATGTCTTACGAAAACTGGCCATCTCTTCCTTTCTCTGTTTCTCTTTCTCTCTCTCTCTCTCTCTCAAACTTTCTTTCTATTTATGTGTCTACCAATCTATCTATTTTTTACTATCTATACATCAAAATAATGTTGGATTCATTCTTCTCTCTCTCTCTCTCTCTCTCTCTCTCTCTCTTTATATATATATATATATGTGTGTGTGTGTGTGTGTGTGTATTAATCAATTCGCTCCAAGCAAGGCGGTAATGCCCCTAAGCTGCAAGGTGCTACTGACAGTGAAAGAGAATGAAAGAATTTAGAAGGAACCAGAAAATCAATCCTAGATAGAGGTATCATATACACTATTTACATTATTCGGACTATTGTCCTCATCTTTGTCGCCATATTTATCAGAACGTTTCGGCCGTTGTATGCTCCGGCCTTCTTCATGTGGTTGGAATGTCGAATATGGCAGAGTGGATAAAAGCGTTGGTTAGATCCAGTGACAGGACCCAAAGAGTGTGAGTTCAATACCCGGTTAAGGCATTGGAAAACTTGGAGAAGGGAATTAACGGGAGATAACTGACATCCCTTAAATATTGCACGTGGGACTAGAACAGCCTACCCCATTGAGCGAAATAAAGGGTTCAGTTCGACATTCCAACCAGCTGAAGAAGGCCGGGGCGTAGAACGTTCTGATAAATATGGCGACAAAGGTGAGGACAATAGTCCGAATAATGTAAATAGTGTATATGATACCTCATCTTAGAAATATAGACAGATACTGAACGACCTAAACGTTGTGAATATGACAATGAAGATGAGGAGACAGTCCGAGTAATGTAAATAATGCTAGTAATCGTAATACCTCATCTCAAGGATATAGACAGGATCTAATTCATTTATTTATTTATTTTAACTTCAGAGATATGATGTCGGATTATTATCACGTTGTCTTATGCACAAGATAATACAATACCTCTCTTGAAATAGTATAAAGCTGAACTTATGGAAGAAATCTTAACCGTGTGCAATAAAGTAGTAAACTACACAGTAAGAATGGTAAACTAGTAGAAAGTTGTGTGACGGTTAATATCTGTAGACTTATGCTGGCATAGAGATATTAACGTATGAATAAATCCCGGACCTTTTCACTCTTGTAGGAGGAATCCTTCCCGAATCGATCATGTCTACAATAGTCTAGACTTAACACACTTATTCACTTGCGCGATGGTGAGGTGATTTAACCCATAGTTGGATGGTTTGAATTCAGAGTTAATCCTTCTCCTAGACCTGTTGCCATCCAAGGCTATTTTCGTTGAAGTCTCAATGAAAATCAAGCTGGCAACAATTGCAAATCTTAATTCAATTTGATTCGTTTAAAAGTAGACAAATGTCGAGTCCCGCAAGGATGCGCAATAAAAATAATTTAATATTTATATCTAATATGACGAGGTCTCAGGTCATCATGTTCACTCATTTAGTGAACATCTGGTTTCATTGTAAGATGAAAAAAGATTCTATATATTTTCTCCCTATCAACTATCAGCGTATCTACATGGCAATCTATCCATCTCACCCTGGCCATTCTCACTCTCATATCTTTCTTCCTTTCATTTTTCTTCTTTTCTCTTCTATCTACTAATCTATCTAAAAAATTTTTAAAAAGCCACACTTTAAATGAATCTTTCTTTTGATGAGAATGTCTGCATAACTTTTTCCAGATAATCTCACCTCATTCCATAAATTATTTATCTATCTACTATCTACTATTAACCCATCTCTATATCTATCTATAGATCTCACCATCGCCATTACGTATTTTCTCACACTGTAAAATCCCACTTCCATTTGCTACCTGAAAATTGTAGCTGTCTCTGCAGAAGATGGCTTCCATTAAATACGTACATCGCACTATTCTTAGAGTGAATAAAGAGAAAAAAAAAACTGTCTTATAAAAGCAGTTTGCTGACATCCAGTTATAGAGATGTCCAAACAAAACACATACTTCCAAACAAAATGTGTGTCTCTATGCAATAATTTCTGGTTTGACGATGACTCGATCTTAGATGATTTGGGGTTGATTGAATATCCCTGAAAAATATCCATTTGTTTATTCGTCTCTAATAATAAAATAATTCTGTCATTCATTCTTGCTTTCTTTCTTTCTTTAAATCTTTCTTTCTCTTGATATGCAATTATATTCTATTATCTTGTTCTTGCTTTCTTCTTTCTTTCTTTCTCTCTCTTTTTTTTTTCTTTCGGTAATTTTCTTGTCTTTCTTTGGTTCAGTAACTTTCATTTCTTTTCTTTTTTCTTTCTTTCAATTTTCTTTTTCTTTCTTTTGTTCTGTAATGTTCTTTCTTTCTTTCTGTCTTTCTTTCTGTCTTTCTTTCTTTCTTTTGCTCATTAGTTTACATCTGTCTTTCTTTTTTGTTATTCTGTCTACTAATCTATCTAAGAATTTTTGAAAAAAGCCACATTATTAATGAATCTTTCTCTTGACTAGAATGTCTGCCTAACTTTTTTTTCAGATAGTCTCAGGTAATTCTATAAATTATTTATCTATTTGCTATCGACTATTAACCCATCTGTATATCTGTCTACAGCTCATCATAGCCATATTTATATCTCACTTCTCTTAGAGCGAATAAAGACAAAAAATAGCTGTCTTATAAAAGCAATTTGCTGACATCCAGGTATAGGAATAAGTGTTTCTGTTACTTTCTTTTGACCTGTAATTTTCTTTCTTTCTTTTTTTTCTTTCTTTTTCTTTCTTTTGTTCAGTAATTTTGTCTGTCTTTCTTTTATTCTGCAATCTTCTTTCTTTCAATCTATATTTCTCTCCTTTGTCTTTCTTATCTTGTTGTATCATTTTATTCTGCCTTTATTTTGTTCTATAATTTTGTTCCAGCATCCATTCTTCCTTCCTTCCTTTCTTTCTTTAAATCTTTCTTTCTTTTTTTTCTTTCCTTCAGTAATATTCTTCTTTGTTTCTTTCTTTTTAACATTTAATTTACTTCTTTCTTTCTTTGCCATTTCTTTCTTTCTTTTATCCTACATTATCTTAATTTTTTAATGTTCGGTAAATATCTTTCTTTTGTTCGACAGTTTCCTATTTTACTTCCTTCATTTTTTATTTATTTATTCAGTAGCTTCTTTCTTTATGTTCTGTCATTATTTTTATCTCTCTTTTAGTGTTCTAAAGCTTCCATCTTTGCTTGATTTCCTTTGAATCCTTTTTTGTTTCTTTTTTTAGCTTCCACCTTTGTTTTAATGTTTCTTTTCTTTTCTAATTGCTTTTTTACTTTTGTTTTGTTTATTCGTGTTTTTTTTTTATTAGCTTTCTTTGTATCCTTCGCTTGCTGCCCTGCAGTTTCTTTAAGTTTTTCTTTTTTTCTTTTCCTTGAATTATTTACATGATTCCTATGTTTCTATAATTTTTTTCTTTCTTCTTGATTTGCAATTAAATTCTTTGTTTCTTTCTCTCTTTCTTTCCTTAATTCCCGACTTTGTTTTTTTCTTTTTTTTTTTTGTTCTTTCTTTCTTTTTTTCTTTCTTTCGTTTTGATCTTTATTTACCTTCTCCATTCCTATGTTATGTAGTTTCCTTTTTTGTTTCTTTTGTTCTCTTTGGTTCTTTCTTTTTCTTTCTTTCTTTCTTTCTTTCTTTCTTTCTTTCTTTCTTTCTTTCTTTCTTTCTATTTTGATCTTTGGTTACCTTCTCCCTTCCTATGCTCTATAGTTTCCTTTCTTGTTTACTTATCCTGCTGTTTTTTGTCTGTCTGTCTGTCTTTCTTTCTTTCTTTATTTATTTATTTATTTATTTATTTATTTATTTATTTCCATTGTTTTTTCTTTTGTTCAATATTTTCTTTTTTATCTATTTCTTTTTTGATCTGCAATTTATCCCTCGCTTCGTTCCTTCTTGTTTTATAGATTATTAACATTTTAATCTACTTCATCTTTTCTTTTTTTCCATAGTCTCCTTCGTTTTTAATCTCTCTGCTCTTTTTCTTAGTTTCTTTCTTTCTTTTGCTCTTATTTTTATTTCCTTGTTTCTACAGCTTTCTTCTCTCTCTCTCTTTATTTTTTTTTTTTTTTTTTTTTGCAGGTTCCTTCTTTTGTCCGAATTTACTTTCTCCTTTTCTTGTTTATTTTTTTTTTTTAAATTATTCAGCTTCCCTCTTTGTTTCTTCTTTTCTCTCTTCGGCATATTTCTTCATTCCGTCGTTCGCCAAATAAAATATTCTTTATTTGTTTATATTCTATCTTTCTACTTTCTTTTCTCGTTTAAAAAGTCTCGTTCATTCGTCTCGCTTCCACATAAAGAATAATGTAAACTCGATGGCCAATTTCATCCATAGCTGCTTTTCTCAATCATCTTCTTAATATTACATATATATTCATTAATTCCAGCGTGACAATGATCCCAAATGCTTTAAAAACAGTTCCAAATTTAATCAACGTGAAACAGAAGATAAATTTTATATCAGAAGCAGAAGTAAACAGAATGTAAACAAACACCTCCAAAAATACATCAACACTAAATTCATAGATTCGACAAAGGAAAATACGAAAATAAAAGGAACTGAAAATTAAACAAATCACTCAGTACCGTTCTAAGTTACTGTAATATCTGTGATCGAAAATTTGACCGATAAAATGCCGTTTTAATAAATGGTGAATATAAGCTGGTGAGACAAAAAATCGATTTATAGTCTGATCATACAAAAAAAAAATACTGAAACAATGAGGAATAAGTTTAACATTGAATTATGAAAAAAATCTAAAGGCGTAAAAATAAAATATATAGATAAAAAAAAAAAAAAACTGTATCGATACAGTTAAATAAAAAGTATAAAAAAGCATTCAGACGGTCAACACAATTCACAACACTTGAGAATTTAGGTTGTAGCCTGAAAAATTCAAAATGGCCGATATATTTAACGCATTAATAATTGTATCTGGTTATTTATAGTTTATCCATATATATATATATATATATATATATATATAGCGTGCTGACTTAGGGTGTTCATGTACATTTTACTCTATCTGCGTTCATATATGCAGATATTTTATTCGGTTATGATTATCTGCATATTCAATTTTGGGCATATCTGTCTGTCTATATCTCCCTCTCTCTCTCTCTCTCTCTCTATATATATATATATATATATATATATATATATATATATATATATATATATATATAGATAGATAGATAGATAGATAGATTATAGTCTGTCCAAGATTATCTGCCTGATGATATTGTTCATATATCCTTATCGGTAAATCTTGCCAACTCAGTCATTTAGCGTTTATATATTTATGTAATACAGCGTTCATCTACCTTATATCTATCTATCTATCTATCTATCTATCTATCTATCTATTGCAGTCTGGTTATATCTAACTATGCATACATCAATTTGTTGGACATAAAAAAAAATATAACACTTTTATGCACTCCTTTCAAACTACTTATTATAGTTAATCCAATATTTCCATTTTGTAGATTTAATGATGGAAATAATTTTAGATTGCTGGAAATCTACATTGGAGAAGCTTGGATTATAAAGGAAAAAAAGGGGCGACTTCGATGTACCACAAGGTTCGTTTGATAGTACTTGAAGTTTCACAATTAATAGGCGTACATAATTGATATGAAATCAACAAAATTGGATATATAAACGACCGTGGCCAGTATAGCGATGACGGACTGATGATAGCGCCAGACGACAGAACAACAAATGACAATATAAGTAAAGTACTTTTCAGACACCTCAAATGCCTCGATGTTGAAATAGAAGTCGATATGAATAAAAAAAAATTGTTCAGTATTTAGATGCAGAATTAAATCTACAAACTGCTAGTGTCTTCCTATACATGAAACCCAACACAAAATTAAAATACGTGAAAGTTAGATCCAACCATCTTGCCGGTATAATAAAGGAAATTCCCAAAGGAACAGAGAACAGAAATTCCTCTAGTAAAATAATTTTCGAAAATAAAAAATAAAGAATATTAAAAGACTTTAAAAGAAGTGGGACATGATGCCAAACTGATTTTTCAACCTCAAATCAAACAACAAATTAAGAACAATTCGAGCAAAAGAAATATATTATTTGGTTTAACACCTCTTTTAATTAAGAGGTGAAGTGTAAAATAGGGAAAATATTTTTTTTCAAATTCCTTAATAAAAACTTCCCCAAAAATTCCGAATTACACAAAATATTTAATGAAAATACAGTTAAATTAAGCTATAGCTGCACTAATAATTTAGAAACGACAATAAAAAAGATAAAAACACCAGAAATCTCAAAACTAACGTGCAGCAAAGCATGCAACTGTAGAAATAAAAAGATGTCGATGAGATGGGGTGTGACGTCCCTAAACACAGCCTTCGCTCTCTCCTCGCTGCTTCGTTCGGGTGTCGCCTCTCCAAACGTGACGTCCACCGGTCGCGTCAGTCGTGTTGTCTCGTCCTGTGACGACCAACTGGCTTGGTATCGGTCGCGGCACCCAAATGTGACGTTCTAACCTTTTGGGGATTCGGATGGGAATCTGGTTAGATTCGATATCAGCCCCGTCGTTCCCAACTCGCTTCCAACGTCTGGTTACCAAAGTAACTGCGTTGGTCTCCAGTCTGCCTACCCACGTTGTGAATTGATCTTAGGCAGACGAAATCAATCAGTCGTCAGGGCCGCAATGCAAGTTGGGTCCAAGCGGGGGTGGTATCGCACAAATATGTATAAAAGAAATAAAATGATAACTCAAAAGTTCAAGGTATCAAAGAAAAGGATAACAAACTTTATGTCTAATTGTTGGATACATAGGACTGCGTCTATCTCCCGACCCGTTATATGGATTGTGACACGTTGTTTTCCGTTAGGCGAGTTTTAACACTTCAAGTTGTTTGCTCTTTAAGAAATTGTTTTTGTTGGTGTGTCTTCGGGCGAAAGTCGAAAAAAAACTTATTTTGGTGGTCTGGATCTAAGTCGCTCTTCAAAATAATTGTTCTTGGATTGAAGATGAGTCCGGAAATTGCGCGAATCTTGGTCAGCCGATGTGAGGCCTGATTCAACTGAGCACTGGAGACTGACTCTGGGAACTGTCTCTCCCGAACTGTCTCTCCCGAACTGTCTGATTTTCGCTCGCTGCGACCTTGCTTATCTGGACGCCGACCAAAACCGGGGTGGGTTTGTCGGCGCCAGGGGTTTCTCGATAATTCTAAATACATATCTACTTCTCTTATTTTTGGTTAGAATTTTCCACTTCTTTCCATTTTGGGAGCCTTCTCTTACTCCCCACCTTCTCACCATACTTCAGAGGGGCGTGAACTGCCCTCCCCACTTCTTCGTAGCAACCCTCTCATACCCATCCTCTAGGTGGGCGGCGACAACTTCCTCCTTGCGTCACGTGATCACCACTCGGCCAATGATATCCAGCCGGGCGTGTGCGATCCCGCGGGCTTTGTTTCAGGAGAAAAAATATCTTGCTTAAAAAAAATTATCTTTTCTTTTCCTCTTCTTTCTTTAATACGCAAATAGAACAATGCGATCGGTGGTGGTCATAACACTTGTTCTCACCTGGACTTCGTCAGTCGTCTTATCGCTAATTATCAGAATGGGTGGTCTAGCGAAACACAGTCGACCGTCGTCTCGAGAAAAAAATAATTCCATTGTCCGAGCCGTGTTTGCATTCTTGGTGCCAATTTCTGATAACATAGTTCTGTTATCGCAGCCAAAGATGTCTTGTCAAAAAAACGGTCAGACGTTACTTCCTGTGCGGCTTGGCAGACGACACAGTTAATTTGTCATATCTATCCAAAGCCCTGTATTTCACCTGTTCTTTGTCAATTATCAAAATAACATTTTCAATTGGAGTTTTTCTTGGCTAGTCGGTCTGTGGTCTGCTAATTAGATGTTTTCCACATTGAGCTGCTCTTATCTATCTAAAGCCCTGATAACACAAGTTGTTGACAGTACACAGTCGATTCCCCCCATCCACCTAGAATCCTTCTGCCATTGTAATGACATCCACGATTGGGTCTCGCCTCTCTTTCCTTTTCTTTCCTTTCTCTTTTTCCTTTCTTTTCTTTTTCCCTGGTAAATGGTGCCACAGGTGTTTGCAAAACCGAAGCAATAATTTATAAAGTAGAAGTAATAGATACAAATGGCCCGAAGAATATATACATAGAGTGTACTGAAGGTAATTTTAATAAGAGTTGGTATAATCATAAGTCAACTTTTAAGATAGAAATTCGTAGGAATTCTACTAGACTAGCCAACCATGTTTGGAAAGTAAAGGAAAAATCAAATAATATCCGATTGTAAACTTGAAAAATTTTAAAAAAGGAAAACTTTACAACAATGATAGTAATATCTGCAACCTTTGTCAACAAGAAAAGTTAGCTATAATAACATTTCCAGACCTAAAAACCTTTTGAATCAGAGATCGGAAATTATGACCCGTTGTATACATACTGAGTTTATATGAAGTGGGTTAAATTCCTCACCTTCTACCATATCTCACGTAGTGCCTTTATTTATTTATTTATTAAAAATATATCGTACATAAATTTCTTATTTTCAAAAATAAATAAATAAATAAAGCGTTAGGAAATCAATTGAGCGAAATCGCCTGAAGAGACCAAAAGGTTGAAACTAAGGTAGCGAAATCGGTTGATCTCATAATTTTCTATACTTAAAAGCTCTACATGTTAAATTTTTTATCTTTTTATGTGTGTATTGAGCATTTTTTTTAAATAATACTGTTTCCTGGTCTAATTCAACTCCGACCATTAACTTTCTTCTTGTTGTTGTTGTTGTTCTTCTTCTTCTTCTTCTTCTTCTTCTTATTATTATTATTATTATTATTATTATATCGGTGTGTTCATTTGCTTTCTCCCTCTTTTTCTTATTCTCCCTCTCTCTTTCTCTTTTTCACTATGTATCTTCTGTTTAACAGTACTTCACACAGACACACTTACACAGACACACACACGTACACACCCACACACATACACCCACACACATATATATATATATATATATATATATATATATATATATATATATATATATCATTCTGCCGGTCTGTCTATCTATCTCTGTATATCAGTTTATTCATATTTACCGATCTTTCCCTGATCATCTCTCTCTCTCTCTCTCTCTCTCTCTCTCTCTTTATTTATATTTATCTATCTATATATCAATCTATTCATTATCTATCTTTGTCTATTCATATCTATCTATCTATCTATCTATCTATCTATTTCAGTCTATTCATATTTATCTACGTCTCTGGTTATATCTATCTCTCTTAGTTTATTCATATATGTGTATATCTATCCATTCATTATCGATCTTTGTTTGTCCATATCTATCTATCTATCAATCTATCTATATATATATATATATATATATATATATATATATATATATATATGCATTTTGTCTATTCACTTCTATCTATCTATCTATCTATCTCATCTTTCATATCAATCTATCTCAGTCTATTCATATCCTTCTATCGCTCTCTGTTCGTATATATCTATCGGTCTCTTTCTCTCTGTTTCTCTTTCTCTCTCTCTCTCTCTCTCTCTCTCTCTCTCTCTCTCTCTCTCTATCATAATACTTCCATTTTTCCTTACATTTTTATTTTTATTCCATTTTTATTCCCATTTTTCATTTATATTCATTCGTTTTACTTGTTCTTTTTTATTCTATTTTATTTTATTAATTCCTTTTTACTTTATGTCAGAAAATCTTGTATTATATAAAAAAAAAAAAAAAGAATTTCTTTGTATTTTTTCCCTTTTTCGCATTTCTTCCCGCCATTCGATATCGGTTAAGTCTTTTTTTTCTCTCTCTCTAACCCTAATATTTTTTTTTTATTATCGTATTTCTCTTCTTTTCATCACCCATAAAACTTACATCAAAATACACGCAGAAATGCATTCCATTACAGACCCCAACATATACACGGCTCAATATCTGCCGGTTCAGCTTTTTCTTTGCGTGAGCTGAGTGGCGAGGTCTGCTTGTTTGCGATGGCAAAACAAAACCCTTTATTATTTGCAATTATACTAGAAAATGTACATCTAAGTATCTATAATTCCAGAATAAGAAGATTATATTTCCATCTTGGAAAGTTTTTTTTTTCTCATCTTTCGATGCATTAATAGGTAAAAGTTTTCGCTTCGAATATTTTGATCCTAAATTTGTTGTTTACTGCGATAGTGTAAGGGATATTGACGCGGGAATGGATCAGGAGTACTGGGTTCAATTCCTGCTCTATTCTGCTTCAGTTTCAATGTTATTGGAAATGGCATGAATCTCACTTCGGCCAGGCTAGCCTGAAGAGAGCTTCTTCCTTTGAACCATATCTCTGTGGAACTGACTACCAAGGGGGATATTTCTCTAGCTACTACAATCTTAACCTGTTCAAGTCTAGAATTAATCGTTATCCTCCTATCCACAACTATCTATCTCAGTCTATTCATATTAATTTACCTCTATTCATATCAATATTAGTTTATTCATATATATATATATATATATATATATATATATATATATATATATATTCATATATATATCTATATTTATATTACTTATTTATTTATCTCTCTAGTCATATATATCTTAGTCTATTTATATCAATTTATCTATCTATCTATCACACAATTCATATCATCTTATCTCTCATTCTGTTCATATATCTATCTATCTATCTATCTATCTATCTATCTATATTAATAACTATGTATATACCTCAACTTGTTGAACAGGAAAAGCAAAAAACCCTAACACTTTATGGGTCACTATCAAACTAACTATTATAGAATTTCCGGTGATATTACTTAATTTAGCATGTCCATGTCTGTCTATCCACATAAACTGCCCCTTACTGTAAACCTCTACATGGAGTGGTCCTTATAAAAAAAAGTCAGTGGAAAAATCTTGGATACCTCTATTTTCGACATCCCATTAAGTGTTAAATAAATAGACTGTACTTTCCTAGATTTCTTCATATATTTAACGCGTTCATTCATGACGTCAGCCATACTGGCTCTCCCCAATTTTCTATCATTTGTCTTTCATTTTAATTACATATGTTTTTTTTTAATCATTTCACCCCGAGCAATGTGATATCGCCACTAAAATGCAAAGGCCCAACTGGGATTGAAAGTGACTGAAAAGAACAGGACGTCTAATCCTAAACAGGAAACACGTAATAAACCACGATTCTTTTTCAAATGACTGGGAACGTTAGTGAAACGGGTGACTACGAATGATATTCTTTTTACCATCTCTTCCACCTAGTGTCCTGTAGCGCCCTGCCTACCTCTGTCCCTCTTGCCTTCGACAAGTCCTGTGAGTGACAAATTTTCAAGCCTTCTTTTCTCGGTGTGTTCCATATGTTATGTCTGTCTCTTTCTGATTGTAAGTGTCCTTTTTATTTCTATTTTTCTTAAAATTTCTTCGTTGTTTAAAACGCCTCATCGATGTTATTCTCAGCATCCTTCTGTAGAACCACATTACGGATGATTCAAGTCTTTCACTATCATATAGAAAGTTCTCTTGCCTTAGATGACTGTAACTGGAGGGGAAGAACAATGAACCGTATAGAATGGCATGTGAAATCATTTCAGTATAATTCTCGTTAAGTCTTAGCAAATCACAGATTTCAAAGAAAAGGCAGCTGTGGAGATAGACGATCCTCTACCTCTTGCAGTGATATGGCATCATAAGAGTGATTCCCTAAGAAAAAATAAATGGATTGTTATGGTCCGGTTCCTTGTACCACGTTGATAGTCCAAGAAGAACTCGAACACGTATATGGAATAACACAGATATATTACAAACAGGAATATATACAGAGAAGTAGAAAGTGTTAATACGAACAATCAGGTTTAGTAGTAATTGTCTGAACGCGACTCTGTTTCGGACTAATTCTGAATCGACTGACTGACTGACTCGCTTGCTCTGACTGACTGACAGACTCCTGACGGACTTCACTCCAGACTTCAGACTGAACTCTCTGCTTCCTCTTAAGGCGCAGTATTTAATACGTATGGAATAGTCCATTATGTTATTATGCGTAAGGTCCCATAACACCCCACTTCCGAAAATTTTGCGTAGGAGGGGTTTTTTAATATCTTTTTTTCTTTGTATCTATTTCCAAAGGTTCAGTAAATTTTGTTTTTCTAGACGATTTTCTTGGTTTTGACATTATTTGCGGTCTTGTTATATCGAATGTGTCAAAAATCGTGTCCAATACCTCTTCTTGAGGTGGACCGTTAGCATCCTGTAACGGTCTCTTCCTTATTTGGATTACGTGTTTCTGTGTGAGAATTTTTTTCCTTGAACTATGTACATCATATTGCCAATTCTTTTCTCAATTATCCCTTGTTCCCAACAAGAGGTATTATTTTTGTATGCCTTAATTTTTTTTTTTTTCCCCTGGGAGGAATTTTCATTTTGGTGTGTAGGATTGTGCAACTTGTTTTGTTTTACTTGGTAGTAATTTATCGAACGCTGATCTGATTTTCCTAGCAAACAAGATATCTGCTGATGATAATGTTGATGGTGTCGCATTATTTGGCGTTATTCTATATACCTGTAGGAATTGCTGTAATGCTTTCTCCGTAGGCACATCGTACGCTTTTCGTATTGCTCTTTTGAGAGTGTCCACGAATCTCTCCGCTTGTCCATTTGATATTGGATGGTAAGGTGGGGATTTTATGTTTTACTTGATAGATTTCGCAAAACACTTGGAAATCTGATGACGTGAATTGCGTTCCGTTATCAGTTACTAAACAGTCCACTACACCAAACCGAGCGAATAGCTCGTGGAGAAAATTTATGGACGCTTCTGTAGTAGGATTTTTGCACCGAAACACCTCCGGCCATTTACTGTTGCGATCAACTATGATTAAATAGTAGAACCCATCAATTGGTCCTGCATAATATGCGTGTATTCTTGACCATGGACGATCAGTTTTAAGCCAAGGCTTATGTATGATTGGCGGTGCTTTAGCTGCTAAATTACAACCCTTGCACATTTCCACCATTTGAGAAATATCATGGTCCATATTCTTCCAATATACATAGCTTCGCATTAGCGACTTCATCATATTTTTACCCGGGTGTTCTGTGGAAATACTTTAGTATCCATTTTTGTAAAGTTTTGGGGATTACAACCCTTTCTTTGTAAAGTAGCACATTATAGCATAGAGAAAAACTATCCGAAATTTTCTCATTTTTTTCTGCTATTTTTGCTTTTCTTTCATTAATAAATTCGTCATTTTTGGCTCCATTTTTTATGTCTTGAAATGTGACTGGGAGGTTTCTGACTGTACAACATAGTACTGTTCTTATGTATTCTTCATTTCTAAGGGCTGCGATTACCATATCTTCCAATGGCTCTGTCTTTGTTGGTATAAGTCTCGACAGACCATCCGCGTGCCCGATTCTTTTCGTTGGTAAATATTCCAATCTGAAATTATAGTTCAGAAGAATCGTTCCCCATCTAAGTAGTCTATTTGCCGTGTACACCGTTAGACCTTTTTTTGAACCAAAAATTTTTATTAACGGTTTGTGATCCGTCCTCAGAGTAAAGTGTCTACCATAGACGTATCTATGGAATCTTGTTCCTGCAAAGATAATTGCTAGAGCTTCCTTCTCGATTTGTGAATAGTTTTTTTCTCCGCTGGTAGTAGGGTTCGAGAAGCATGGGCGATAGGTTTTATTGTTGCATCTGTCATTTTATGTAATATATACGGTCCGACACCGTAGGCGCTCGCATCACTTGCTACAATAATCTCTAGTTTAGGATCATAGTGTGCCAAAAATAAATCCGATGTTAATGTCTTGATTATTTTTTAAAATATTTCCTAGCATTGATCTGTCCACTGCCAATTTTTTCTTTCTTTAGCAGTTCGTTCAATGGTGCGCGAAGTTTATGCATTTGAGGTATGAATTCCTGATAGTAATTCATTAATCCAAGAAAACTGTAGTTCTGTTATGTTCTTAGGAACTGACATCTTTTTTATTGCTGTAGATCTTTCAGGGTCTGGACGTCTACCTTCTTGGTCTATTATATGGCCAAGATATTTACTTTCCTTCATCAAAAAAAGTCACACATTTCCTTTCACTTTGAATCCGTAGCTTTGAATTGTACATGTTGTCAGTGTTGTTCAACGCATTCGCTATTAATCAATATGTCATCCAGATATGCTATTATGTATTCTAGTCCTGCCAGAAAATAGTCTGCTGGAAAATATCCGGCGCTACTTTAATTCTAAAGTCTTTGGTATCTGTACAATCCCTTGTGTGTGTTTATGCATAGTCGTTTTGAACTTTCTTCATCGACTGGAATTTGCAGGTAGGCCTCACTTAGATTAATTTTTAAAAAATATTTCCCGCCATTTAATTTAGTGAATACTTCTTCAGGACTAGGTAGCGGATATTGGTAGTCCTTTGATGCTACGTTCGACTCAAACTCGAATTTCTCCTGATTTCTTTTTAACGTAGACCGTCGGTGCGGCCCCTTTGCTGTACTCTACTTTTTTCAATATGCCCGTATTTTCGAGTCTAGATAATTCTTGGTCAATCTTTTCTATTGACGCAAACGGTACACTCCTTTTTTCTTGAAAATAGGTTGAACGTTATATTTTATTTTGATATTAGCTGCCATTTTCTTTCATCTTCCGAGACCTGCCGAAAATACATCGGGGAAACTCGTTTTTAGTTTTCTGCCTCGGTTGATAAGCTTTTTACATTCTGGCAGTAGGTAGTAATAGGTAGATCCCACAATTCGAAGTTTTGCATCCAGTCTGTCCCGAATAGGTTTTCGGTATTTCTTAAGACGTACAAAGGAAGAAAAGAAGAGAAAGAAATGAAATTTTGATAGTGACAAATGGTGAAATGTTTCATTGTCGAAAATTCTAAATAGATAAAAATTAACTGTGTCGTGGTGGCGGACTTATATTATCGGGAATAGATAACAGCCACTTGGTGCTGGCGAAAATCTAATTGACAAATTCCAGATCGGCTAGCTAAACTCCGGGACAGAATAGATAAACGTTTAACTGTATCACGGGAATGCCCTGACCACACACGAGCTGAAGAAAACAAAGAAAATAGGTTAAGTCTTTGTCGAGGGAAAGATATCGTTAGACAAGGTCTGGGTTGTGTTAGAATCTGGCGATAATAGCGAAACTATTTTATCGGAAAAGTTGGCGGTGTTTTGCTGGATGACCACCTACCCTGATGATTGACGAAGTCTAGATGAAAGTGACCTTGGAATAGGAATTGAGGTTATCACACTACGAGTCGCATTGTTCTGTTGGCGGCCAGAGAAGAAGAGAGAATAGAAAAGAAAAGAAGGAAAGGAAATAGAAAAAAAAAGAAAAAAAGAGTCGATAATTCTTTTTTCTTTGAGCGAGATATATTTTTAAAGAAACAAGGCTAGTTGATCGGCCATTGTATGAATGTTAACGAGAGCCAGGAAGGGGGGCTGCTACTACTCCTTAAAGAGGATAGGTATAAGATGTTACTGCGAGGGAGTAGGAAGATCGTTGACACCCTCTGAAAGTAGGGGTAAGAGAAGACTTCCAAAAATGGAAATAATAAATTTTTCCTGACCGAAAACAAAAGAAGGGGATTGTGAATTTGGAATTATCAAGGAACCTCAAACCCCAACAAAGCCCACCCTGGTTTTGTTCGGCGTCCATATAAGCAAAGTCGCAGCA